GTTGTCTTTCCTCGCCACTGTCGAAAATAGTTTCTATCTTGTTTGAGAACCGCTGCGTTACCGCATCGTTAGCCTGACGCGGTGACGTCAGCAGCACGGCCCGTCAGCTGGAGCCGGTCATGGCCGGCCAGACCCTTTGGTTACACCCAGGTGCCTCATTCTCTCCAGGTCATAATAATCTTGTTTCTCTACTGATTCCGTTGCTTGTTCCCAAACCAAGCACCAGCACAGCGATCAGCATGAGGCAAACCAAGCACCAGCAACAATCAGCTAATACCTGTAGATATCATCACAAAGAGAACTGGACCACACCAGACCCAAAGACCACAGCGCAGCAAGGAAGCAAAGAACCGGAATATCAGGTGTGACTACACACCACAAATAAAAGGAAACCAAATAAGAAACCTTCTTTCATATAACAGGCCTCCGGGCGGCTGAAAAAGGATCAAATTTGGAATTTTTGTTGGACGAATTGGAATTGGAATCTCCAGCTTTCAAATTTTAAACCCAAGGTATTAAAAAAAAAAAAAAAATCTGGGGATAACAAAACCCCATCATTTGCAGCCTGCGCTAGTCTAGAGGTCCTTTCCAAGAATCAAAATATCGGATACTTTACAGCGAAACGAAATATGATATTGATTATTAGGCTATAATTCGAATAACGGTCCCAAATTATCGAGGCCGAAAATATACCCTAACAGGGCCTCAGTCACATGTCAATTGCGAACTACCGCCACGAGTATCTTCTACCCACGAGCAAATAAAATAAAGGAAGCTGCAGGAGATGCGGTAGCTGCTGCTCGTGAGTCCCAGCCATATAGTTTAGCCCCTCTCCACGCCGAGATACTCTCAGTGGTGGCGGTAGTCGCCGGAAGTTCGCAAATGAAGTTTCCAGAAGTCCAAAATTGACATGTGACTGAGGCCCAGTTAGGGTATATTTTCGGCCTCGATAATTTGGGACCGTTATTCGAAGGATAGCCGATTATTGACTCAACTTCTGGGAAGGAGCTACCGAATGACATTAGCTTTAGCTTCGCATTGCAACAGTTCTTTTAAATTAAAACACATACTGAAACCAGAAAGAGATCTGATTTGGCCATGGGTAAAGGGTAACGAGTTTTCCACAAAATACCCCCGGACATTAAAACTCCTTATAGTGTTTTGATGGACAGCAAAGCATTAGGCGAATCTTTAATGTTTGAATCAGGAGTTGTTGTTTTGAGTAAGTTTGTTTCTAGCAATTTCTAGGTCTAACTCTGACTTGTCTGTAGTTAGTTAATTTGTTAGGGTTTAGATGCGACCTGTCTCCTGGTAGTAGAATAACAGAAACGTTAGATAAATGATGAGGTAGATAGACATAGTCCGTTTTATTGTGAATCATAACTGATTTGATTCAAGAACCGACATCACAGCACTCGGGGCACATCCATAAGCGCTCCGTCTCCATCTTCAGCAGCCAGCGAAGATCGATCTGCTCCTCCGCACTGTACACGCTCTCCCACAAGGCACTAACCGCCTTATCATGCATCAGTATTCCACCAAGCTGTGCAGAGCCAGCCAGTCTGTCCGCCTGTTTATTTCCCAACACACTGGCATTACTTGAATGAAAAAATCCAGACAATGCTCCTCACCCGTGTCTTTTGTAGCGAGGCATGCCACTCTGCACGAAGCATGCCTGTCCTGATCTTCCTCAGCATGCTTTCTGAGTCAGTCACAATCACATAACTGATGTGGCGAAAAGATGTAGGTCCTGCCAACACCCACCCATACTGGGCTACAAGTTACTCTATAATCTTTTTTGTGGTGCCTAGTATATGTGTGAATATTGAATTAAGAATCGACATCACAGTACTGAGGATACTTTCCATAAGCGCTGCATCCTCATCTTCAGCAACAAGCGAAGAGTTCAAATTCCGATGGTACTAGTAACTGTCTGCCTGTATACCCATCTCGCCTTTTTCTCGAATGTTTAGCATCGGCCAGATCCTCTGTTAACTCCCCGCAGTACCATTCTTCTTAGACCCTAATGATCTGTTTGTAGATTGAATGATCTGTTTCTGCATCCACATAGTTTACTCGCTGCCAAAGGGTTCTCACAATATCTAGCTTATCACACGTCAGTTCATCACTCAATGAACCGGCCATCTATCTGCCTGCTCATTTCCCCCACACAAGCATAACCTGATATTGTTGAACAAGGTTTTCAGGACCCTTACTAGTGTGCTTCTCATCCTTGAGATGTTAGTCATACAGACTGCAATCTTGGATGGGAAAAACTGAAAATAAAAATGTGTAGGAGAGTGATCGTGTTATGACACAATGGTTTTGAGGTTTCGAAAAGTGGATCAACATCATGGCACATGGGTAGTAACCAGTAAGTGCTCCATTTCTCTAACCCAAGTCCGAGTCCAAAGAAGCTCAGCACAGTGCACAGACTCTGTGATACACAATAAGGGACTAAACATGGGAGCACCAGAAAAGGGAGTGTTTAGGAGCTTAAAAATGATAAATGATGTTTATCATTTCTGATAATATCTAATTCAGGGGTTGAAAAGAAGTCTTAGTGCTCCACAGGGCACAGATTAGGAACTTCAGCAATAATGTATTACTCACAGTCTGCTTATTGTTCTTTCTGCTGTATCTTTATGGAAATAAAAACAAATACAGATGTTCTAGAGGGACTGGTTATGATTAAGGAAAGAAAGTCGGGACTAAGACAGGGAGAGAAAGAAAAAGAAAAGAAATAAGATGAGATATAGAGGAAAGAAGATAGCAGGAAGGGGGTGAGGGCCACCCCAGGTGTCATCAATTTGAGAGGAAAAGGGGAGAGGGATGACAAATGTGTTTCTAAAATTAATCATATACTTCATATGTGTGTGTGTGTGTGTGGGGGGGGGGGGGGGGGGGGGGGGAAAGAACGGTTGGACATGAAATGTTCTGCACTGGGCAAACATAACCTTGCTAGGCCAAATGGAGGTGCGGGGGGATATAATCAAAGGTCATAATCACATTAGAAAGAGAATGTATAGTGGCGTAACAGTTTGGCAGAATTAGAAATACAACTGTAAAAACTGATAGATGAAAATGTTGAAATAGATGATGCAATAGTGTCCACCGATGGGTCTGTTCATCAGGGTGTAAGATCTGGCTGGGAATTTTCAGCCAGAATAAAGGGAGGAAAGATTATGGCAGAACAAAATGGAGCTTTTTTTTATCTACAACTTCAGGATGGAAATGGAGGCAATCACTGCAGCTTTGATTCTAAAAGAAGAAAACCAAGTTAGCTGAGGAATTATTGTGTCAAAATTTCCGTCAGCGCTGCAAAAGGTTTAAAATGGACAAATGTGGCATGTCTGGATACCAAGCATCAGTACACCAACAGTACAGGGAATCACATTGATATACTGTCTGGGATATGCCGGAGTAACTATGTGGAAATACAAGAGTGGATTTTCTGGCTTCCATACGCACAAATAATCTAAAGAAAAATCACAGAAAAGTGACCATTAAAAAAAACTGCATTTTTCTTTATTATTTGCTAAATTTCCACCACAAATTGACAGAAAAAAATTATAGCTGCATTCTGTCTCTCTCTTAGCACAGTTTGAAGTACACAGTTGCATAGTGCATTTTAAAACAAAATATTAGCATTAAGCATCTGGTCATTACCTGAAAATAGTCATATGAAATGCAGTATAACCCCATAAAACACAAACTGGCTTAAGATGAATACTCAGTTAACATGAACAAAACTGTGATCCCAGCAAGGATGTATTATTCATCATAAATCTGTTAGTTCCCAGTTAGCACAACAGATCCTTGATTTTTCAATCCCTTGAGGATTTATTGTATTCCAATGACTTCAACATTTCTTATATGCAAAATGCAGCATCATTTTTATAAATGTGGATCCTTTTTTTCTTTTAACATATAAAAGAAGTTATGCAGAGCCATAAAAAAACGTGTATCCATTTTTACACAGATTGATTGCTATCTATACAGAATTACTGTAACAGTTATTTGTCTTTTATTACATTTGTACTCGTTCCTTGTGCATTAAAAAAAATTACATATTGCAGATTAGGTATCTATATACATTGCACAAAGGAGAACACAGCTGGTATCGTTAGACTTGACAGATGTGCACTTGTAGATGTATTACCATGGTGTTGCATTTAAAAATTAAAGGTGACTAACTGACTTTCTACCCCACTAGGACATCACACAAACAAACACCTGATGACACAAAGTGCCACCATGTGGATGAGGATCGCCCTGGAGAGGTCCCAGAAACTGCGTTCAGACAATTGGCCATATTTATGGCCTGCCTATATTGCACCCCCTAGCAAAAGCCAGGGTGGGGCTTCAAATAACAAAAGATTTCGTCCTAAAAAGGACGAAACTGGATAATAAAAGCAAATTAAAGGTTGGACATTATCCCTTATGGCTTGGACTCCTTGCAGAGCAGCTGTTTATTCACGTGCCACAAACGCTGAATGAAGTACAAAGCCCTGGAACTCCAACAATGACTCCCAGAAATCTCACAAACTGAAGTAGCCTAACATCAAACCTACTTCTATCAAACAACCCGCCAAACTTTCTAATAATTCACTATTAAGACCCCTTGGGTGCATGTGTAATTATCATCCAGTGTTCATCAGTCATCATTAAACTTGATCGATTTAGATTTAGTAACATCAATATGAAATTTCTTCCCCTCTGCTGGATCCTTTACAAACCCAAACCCAGTTCCTACTTTTCCGCTAAGTTTAAAATTCATTGCCTTGTTGTATTCATCTTCCAGTTTTTGGTTGAGGTTGGCAGCTGCATTGACATCCAGAGCCATGTTGCCACCACTGCTGACTGTATTTGATAATGAGGCCAAGGATCCAAACAATCCTTTCTTCTTTGTGCCTGCCAGAGTGGCGGAATGTTTACTACTCATCCCAACTGTAGCATTACTTGATTTCTTCATGCCTCCTAGAAGCCTCAGAAATTTATTTTGTCTTTCATCGTTTTCAAATAAATTACCTTGCCAGTTACCAAGAGTAGCAGCTGAGTTACCAACAAGACCTAGCTCTGGTTTCATCATCACATCTGATGTAGATTTATCACATGCTGTAACTTCACTGCAAATTTCCTCTTTCCCATTGAAATTCTTATCTGTGCTATCTGCTGGAGAATTCTTTGATTGATGTTTTTGTTTTTTGTGTTTAGAGCCTTTGTCACTAGTTTGAGAAATGTCTGCATTATTAGTGACATGTTTTGTGATGTCTTGAGTTTCCACAGAATTATGTTCTTCTGTGTTTCCTTGAAGTGCATCATCTTTATGTTTGCTGATAGATTTAGATTTCGTTTTGTGTTTTTTCCTAGGAATTTCACTGTCAGTGTCATGTACAGGTCCACAATCTTCATATTTAGAATGCTTTCTCTTTTTCTTCTTGCATTTAGAGCTTTCTACCTCAACAGGGTTAGAAATGTTTTCTTTGCTACAAGTATGTTTTGTGTCTTCAGTTGTCTCATCCTGACTAAGACTGGCCCTTTTATTTTTCTTGTCTTTTGTCTCATGAGTAGTGTCACCATCAGTTTCAAGCAGACTGACTGTTCTTGCTGGCTTTACCTTCTCCATGTCAGCTAATTCTGTCTTAGCCTTCTTATGTTTTTTATTTTTCTTCTTAGCAGACTGGGTTACATCTTGTCTATCTCCTGGCAACTCACTAGTGTCACAAAGAGGATTTGTGGCTATTGTTTTTTCCTTCTTTCTTTTCTTCTTCTTTGAATTCATTCCTACAGGACTTGAATCACAATTGTTGGTGGTCTGATTAATATCTTCAGTTTTCTGTCTCTTGATGTTACCTTCATTTATAGAATGTTCACCTGCTTTCCCATCAGAAACTATGTCATCACCAACGGAATCAGAACTGTGTTTTTTCTTTTTGTGTTTCTTCTTGCTCTTTTCAGTAACTACTTCCAGTAAAGCGGTTTTGGCTGCATCTTCACAAAGATGTTCAACATGTGTGGTGTTTTCTTTGTCTAATCTTTCCTTTTTCTTTTTTCGTCTTTCCTCTTTCTTTTGTCTTCTCTCTTCCTTTGATAAAGAGTTCTTCTGATCATCATCACACTTTATTTCACCCTTCATACTTTCAAGTAATGCTGTAATTTCTGTGTGTGACGATACAAACACAACAGAGTTGCTAGAATCAGTAACTTGATCTGCTTACAATCTGGGAAAAACAAGAAATATGGTTATAGTGAGTATAGGGGGGCAAAAATTAAAATATTTTAATCAAGCTAAAACTACACTGACTGCCCAGTAACTCCTTATAAACTTGTTATACTTCATGGTGTACGGCAGGGCTATTCAACTGGCCACCTGCAGAGGCCTAGCAAGCGGCCTGCGAATTGTTGCCAGTTGTACTGTATTAATGATCTTTTTTTTTTCGGACACTCGGGTCTCCGGCTACATGATGATCCCTATTTTCAACATTTTGGCGTCTGAGCAAACTAAGCTGAACAGCCTGGTGTATGGTGTTGATAACCACAAATGTCTACACACTTCTGTCCCATGAACTGTGTCAGTCATTTCTGAAGCACAGAATGCCATGACGTTAAACAATCCAAGTCTTTTTTGGTCTCCACCTGTCTCTCTTCCTATCTAACTTTCCTACTGATAGAGTGAACTTTAGTAGTTTTTGCTGATGCAGCATGTAATCAGTTCTTTTTGTGAATTAATATTTGTCTCTTTATCGTCATCTATAAATGAACATTTAATAATCTTCTATTCACACAGTGGTGTGTAAAGCTTTGCTTCAACTGGTGTTATTCTAAACCATGAAAATTGCCTCAAAATCTTATTCGGGGGCACTCGTGATCTGCTTGTGGATATGGCTGATTTGCAAATTTCTCTTCTCTTCTTCTTTGCGCTTGGTTTCGTAAGCTCAGATCAGGTGGGTTGCCTCTATGAACTGGCATGTCAGCTGCAGGTCCTGCATGGTTCCATTTTTAATTTGTATTCTAAAAAATTGGTATTTTGGTCATGCTTATGTTGAACACCCAGGTGCCTGGAGAGAACGGTGATGACGGAGAGTAGTTTCAGGACTGGAAAAAGAGGCAGACCCTGATGAAGATGAAGTATACAAGACACTGAAGATGCTCTTGCTATGAAAGCAAACAAGGCTGGAAAATTTGCTAGAGAAAGAGAGACTTTCAGGCATGAGAGCAATGTTCTGTAAAGCAGGCATGTCAAACTTAGGGTCCCCTCTGTGCCATATCCACATGGTATGGCCATATGGGTCAAATTTTGTCGTCACGAGGCCCATACCAGAAAACTCAATTAACTGGAGTTGTTTAAAAAAATATTGCAGAATATTTCCCTTCAGCGGGCCGCAGGTGTATTTTTATTAACATCAAACAGAAATAACTCCTGCCATATAACATATATGCATGCACATTTTTGTCTTGGCTCACATAATGAACACACATTATTCCTTTGGAGACGACGCGGCCGAAATATCGGCCCAACAGAGTAGCCAAAAGGACAACTGGGCCGATTGGTCGGCCCTATATAATAGATTAGAAGCCTTGATATTGGCTGGCAGGTTTTCGTACCAGCCAATCAGACTGTTTCTCGCATTTTTTGCACATGTGGGCTGTTTACTGATGGCTTTCGAGAAAGTTTGACGTGTCCTGCAATTTTACATCAATTTTTTTTCTGGTTTTACTTGTGCCCAAAAATGATGAAAAGGACTTGCGTGCATAACAACAGAAACAGTTGGAGGCAGGAAAATGAGTAGAATCATGTGCCAGACGTGTCTCCAAGTGCCTTACTTCACAAAATACAGGTGTTAGGACTTATTGAAGCTTTATCCATTAACAAATTACCCCAAATTTTTTCTGGTCAGTTATGTTTGTTCCTAAGTTTTTTTTTTGAAAATTGCTTGCATAAATTATGCAAATCAGAATAGTTAATCTGAATAAATGTTGAGATTTCAGTCTGATTCATAAATATTATGTTAGCTCATTCGGCTCTCCTCCAAACTTCGTCCCCATATTTTAGCGGCCAAACAAATACCCTAACAGGGCCTCAGTCCTATGCAAAAATGCAGAGTTCCTGCCGAGGAACAAATCGCTGCAAAACTAGGATCAGTTCCGAATACCGAAACAAATGCTCTAACAGGGTTTCAGAGAAATGCTAATTGGGGACCTGTTTCTGCGACTATGCCATACTGCGGACAATTTCTCCGCGCGGATGGGGGGGGGGGGGGGGCTAAACTAGATGGCAGCGGCTCACGAGCAGCAGCTACTGCATTTCCTGCAAATTCCTTCATTTTATTTGCTCGTGAGTCCCAGGCATCTAGTTTAGATCCTCATTCGCGCCGCATATAGTGTCGCAGGGGATACGCTCGGTGGTGAACTTAATCGGAAGAACACTATCACTAATCTACGTCGAAGCGCGTGGTCTCCCCCACATCTCCATATTATCGTCTGTAATGTTGCGTGTGTCGAAATTATCAATGGTCGCTAGTATCGTGTGCAGAAATGCTCAAGATTGTCAATGGTCACTATTATCTTCTGCAGCGTTGCGTGTCATGACATTGTCAAGTAATCCTAGTTTTGCCGCGATGTGTTCGTTGGAGGAAGTCCGCATTTTACACACGCCTGAGGCCCGGTTAGGGTATTTGCTTGGCCACCATAATATGGGATAGAAATTTAAAGAAGAGCCGCGTATTTGTTTGCCCTCGATAATATTGGCCCGTTTTTCAGAGGCAATTTTGCCTTGATTTGTTCCTCGGCATTCACTTTGCATTTTAAACACGACTGAGGCCCTGTTAGGTTATTTGTTTGGCCGCCATAATATGGGCACGAAGTTCGGAGGTGAGCCGCTCATTAGATTTCCTACACGAATATATATATAGTTTGGCGCTCCTTTGATTCATTCCCCAAAATGGCTGCATGCCACATTCTGGCCATAAAATATCCAAACGACGGTGTTCGCGTATATCTAAAATACGGACTTTCTGCCAAGGAACAAATCGCGGCAAAACTAGGATTACTTGACAATCAATATCAACATTTGCACACGGTACTAGTAGCAGACGATAAATACCGACAGTTGACAACAATTTCGAGCGTTTCTGCAGACAATACTAGCGACCGTTGACCAATTTCGAGACATTACAGACGATGAAAGCCAATTAGCAATACTGTGTTCTTCTGATTGGAGGATTTAGTAGCGGTAGATGTCAGACTTGTTGGCATGCACCAAACGCGATTAAACTCATCGCCGAGCGTATCTCCCGCGAGTACAGTAATTGGAGGAAGTTGCAGGAGATGCGGTAGCGTGAGTCCCAGCCATCTAGTTTAGCCCCCATCAGCACCGCGCGTAGCGGACCGGGGGATACGCTCGGCCGTGAGGCACACTCGCAGAAGCAGGTCGGGAAGCAACGTATCGCCGAGACCCTGTCAGAGCATTTGTTTCGTTATCCGGAGTCGGTACATAAATTTTAAATAGAACTGACCCGCATTCGGATATTTGTGGATATTTTATGGCCAGAAATTGGACAATTTAGCTCCCTTTTGAACGCCATCATATTAAAGCCGCCATTTTGGAGAACGATTCAAAGAAGAGCCTATAGTTTTGTATATGGTAATTAACGCTTAATTTTTTTATAGTGTTTTGTATTATAAACTATCAGAATCCCCTCCTGGCACCGAAACTCAAAACAAAAATGGCTTCGTCTTTAAAGGGTTAACATGACATGAACATGAAGATTTAAAAAGAAGAATGGGCTTTATTTTAAAAACCAATTAATTACCAATTAACAGAATAATAGGCTCTACTGGCAAATCCGGACGAAGAATAAACAGCCGTGGACGACTTAGTCAGAGTTCTCTTCCTTGGCCGCACTCCAAACAGTGATCGGAAAACAAACGAAACACTTAGCTATCATTCTGCGGTTGCGTGTCGGGCTGCGTACGGTTGCGTGAGGCATCATGGCATCATCATATGGTTGCGTGCAGGGTTGCATACGGTTGCGTGAGGCATTGTAAATGGTTGTGTAGTCATCATCATGCGGTTGTTGGATTAGAGTTAGGGTTAGGGTTAGGGGTAGGGTTAGGGATAGATGTGAAAATTTTGACGTAGGATTTCGAAATACTGGCCGACAATATGATGTTTGTGGGAGTGGCGCCACTGAAACTCTGCCAAATATGACGCCAATAGCGTGCGGCTAGTGCCCCCAATTGTTGGCGAATTGTGTGTTTGACCAGCATCCAGAGGCCCTCGATTGTGTGTGTGTGTGTGTGTGTGTATGGGACTGTGCGCGATTATAGGGAACTCCGGCGTCAAAATTGTCAAATCTAACGCTAAACCTAACCCTACCGCTAACCCTAATCCCTAACCCCGCAAATTTCTCGATCATTAAAGCATACAATTCGGCAAACACCAACAAACAAAACACACACAAAAAAACACCCAGAATTGTCCTGCAGCGTCGAAAAAAAACCCCAGATCTGGGGATAACAACAAGCATTGGCAGCCCTGATGTCGACGTGACTGTCTTCTTTGTTTCGTTGTGGCTTTTCCGATCACTGTTTGGAGTGCGGCCACGGGAGAAAACTCTGACTTAAGTACTTAAGTCGTCCAAGGCTGTTTATTTTATTCTTCGTCCGGATTTGCCAGTAGAGCCGAATAATATAACGATAACTGCCCGCTCGTGCAATTATTGATTTCGTTAGTAAAATAATATAACGTGCCTGCGTTTCAAGACTTTGAATGCTTGTATCTAAAAAGTTAACAAGATTTAACAAAGTTTGCTAAATCTCAAGTTTGTTACAAACACATAAAAATAAAAACGTGAGACCCACCTGTTTCGCTGCAGCAATGTTTGCCAGGTAAAATTTCACATTTACAGTCAAGTGGAGGAAAACAGTCAAAGACAGACGATTGGCCACGTTGTCCTTTTTTTATCAACACAAATGCTGTTTCTTCCTTCAATCCATCAAGAAATTATTGAAAACATGTGATGACAAGAAGATAAAACATCAAGATCTGACATTGTTTCGATTCAGTTTGCATTGATCTTCATGTTGTATTTACTGCATGCTGAATTTTACGAACTGAAGATATTATAGCCTTTC